GGGGGGGGGTGGGGGGGGGGGGGGTGGGGGGGGGGGGGGGGGGGGGGGGGGGGGGGGGGGGGTTGGGGGTAGCCATCAGAGTTGTATGTATCTGGACACAGACAGCAGGTTGGGTGGGGGTAGCCATCAGAGCTGCATGTATCTGGACGCAGACAGCAAGGTGGGTCGGGGTAGCCATCAGGGATGTACCTAGACTTGACACGGATAGCAACAGCAGATGTAAATCAGAGAGGTAGCTGGGATATTTTTGTTGACATCACTCCTGCACTATTCGTTACCACGGATGACATTTGTACTCCTCAGAACGTCAAGTGGCTCTCAAATTCTTCTCATCCATGGCCGCAGCCAGACAGATGGGTTCAACGGCCGAGGAACAGAGCGCGAAGCTACAGCAGATCCTTCACACTTTGGAAAAGTAAGTTTTACAATCTTTGAACCAGGTCATTCAAACTTGAGAGGAGAACTTTAGTGTGTGGGAGGCATTCATCAAACAATATCAAAATAAGTTTGTGGGACAGCCTTATTAATTATGTACACAATTATTTCAAGTTTATTGACTAGCCCTTGTTTTTTTTAAATTTTACTCCAAACATAAAATCTGCATCTTCAAATCTGTATCCTGTAAAGGCAAAAAATTGATCTTCCATTTAGATCATAAGAAGGCCAAAAGTAGTCCACATGCCTCCCCATTTACTAGATTTGGGAAAACATGTTAAACATTTTAATAAAACTATAAGAATTAAATACTTAATATTAAACTTTTAAGTGAACCCTTCTGTGACTTATGAAACTGCACACCCTCCCCACCCCCCCCAGGCAAAGTTGTGTTGTTCTTTATAGCCTTTTAGCGTCGCCTCTAATGTGGCACCCGGGTCGGTGCACTGCCCTCTAAGATGGCACCTTAAACTTTTAAGTGAACCCTTCTGTGACTTATGAAAGTATAATCCCCCCCCCCCCCCCCACCCTTTTTCGTTTTATAAAAGATCCACTCCTCAGCCAAGAGAATCCAAGGAGTCGCCAGTAAAAGGAAAAGAAAGCAAGTTAAAATATATCCAACTGCTGGACCCAGAGACCAGAACCAATAGATGGATGCATACAACATGGCACCATCTCCCTGGTAGGTCTGAGTTAGTAGGCACACAAAATAGAACCATCTTTGTGGTAGGTCTGAGTTAGTAGGCATACAACATGGCACCCTCTCCCTAGTAGGTCTGAGTTAGTAGGCATACAACATGGCACCATCGCCCTGGTAGGTCTAAGTTAGTAGGCATACAACATGGCACCATCTCCCTGGTAGGTCTAAGTTAGTAGGCATACAACATGGCACCATCTCCCTGGTAGGTCTGAGTTAGTAGGCATACAACATGGCACCATCGCCCTGGTAGGTCTGAGTTAGTAGGCATACAACATGGCACCATCTCCCTGGTAGGTCTGAGTTAGTAGCATACAACATGGCACCATCTCCCTGGAAGGTCTAAGTTAGGCATGCAAAATAGCACCATCTTTGTGGTAGGTCTGCGTTAGTAGCAGGCTATTTTTGATGTTGTAGTTGTAGCTGTGCCCTTGCACATCTGTCTTGCAGATCATTGAACAATTTCAATACAACATTTGATTCTGTATGTCCAAAAATAGGTAGACTTTTGAATTTTCTAAATTTACTATTCCATTTTTTTTTAATCTTCAACTTGTTAAAAGTATTAAAATTGTCATCTTTACATTATTGACAAAAGTAGAATTATTTACTTCTTTTTTTTTTTTAAACATCCAATGCTTACAATTTCAATATTTACAGGCAACACACACAAAAAAAGTTGCATCAAAAATTTAATCAAAGTGTTTTATCATTCAGTTTTAATTCCTAAATTATGCTTTGAGGTGGCGTAATAAAAAAATAGACTAAAACAAACCTTAGACAACAAAGAAGGCAACTTTCCAGTAAGAGGAAGAGGGGCCTAGAACTAGAAGGGGACCAAAACATTGTGTTACCACCCCTCATGTGTTGAGTGCAGTCCTTCTACTTCTAGTCTGAGGGGTTTTGTTGTATCTTGTATTGTATCAGTTGGTCAATCAGCCTCATCCTCAAATTAATACAATAATATCCCCATTCCTATTGATTTTATGTTGTAGGAGTTTATAGATCAATCCTTCTCTTTATTACTATTACTAAAGTTTGTTTTGAGCTGACCCACTGCTCTCTTTATTACAAAATGTATGTATATCTAGCATATGTTAGTAACACCAGCCGTTTTCCTGTTAGTAGATCAATATAGAAAAATTGGTAACACAAAGAAATAGACTTTATCCACCAATTATTACTGGATTACTAATGTTTCCATGACTTTATATTACCAATGTTTCTCTTTAATTCATGTCTTTCTATGACTTTATATTACCAATGTTTCTCTTTAACTTTAATTCCTTTGTTTTTATAACTTTTTATTACCAATGTTTCTCTTTAATTTTAATTCCTGTGTTTCTAGGACTTTATATTACCAATGTTTCTCTTTAACTTTAATTCCTTTGTTTTTATAACTTTATATTACCAATGTTTCTCTTTAATTCCTGTGTTTCTAGGACTTTATATTACCAATGTTTCTCTTTAACTTTAATTCCTTTGTTTTTATAACTTTATATTACCAATGTTTCTCTTTAATTTTAATTCCTTTGTTTTTATAACTTTATATTACCAATGTTTCTCTTTAATTTTAATTCCTGTGTTTCTAGGACTTTATATTACCAATGTTTCTTTTTAATTCCTGTGTTTCTAGGACTTTATATTACCAATGTTTCTCTTTAACTTTAATTCCTTTGTTTTTATAACTTTATATTACCAATGTTTCTCTTTAATTTTAATTCCTTTGTTTTTATAACTTTATATTACCAATGTTTCTCTTTAATTTTAATTCCTGTGTTTCTAGGACTTTATATTACCAATGTTTCTTTTTAATTCCTGTGTTTCTAGGACTTTATATTACCAATGTTTCTCTTTAACTTTAATTCCTTTGTTTTTATAACTTTATATTACCAATGTTTCTCTTTAATTTTAATTCCTTTGTTTTTATAACTTTATATTACCAATGTTTCTCTTTAATTCATGTGTCTCAATGACTTTATATTAACAATTTTTCTCTTTACTTTAATTTATGTTTTTTGCACGAGTTTATTCCATAATTATTTTTTTAAATCTCCTAGAATACAAGGATGACAACCCTGTCAATAACTGGAGCTCCCACTACACCAGGCCACATGCACCGACTCCCAGACATTACGTTATTCACCCCGACTGGAGTTAAAAATGTTTACTTGTGAACCTGTAAATGTGAAAGGAATTTTTTACTTTTATTCGTGTAGCAGGTTTAACTTCCTACAAATAGACATGTACATGATAAGGACAATTACTTTAACCTGGTGGCTCAGCTGGTTAGGGTGTAATGTTTTTAATGGGATTTTTTTTCCGTTTCTACCCCCCTCCACACTAGTTACATTTGACTTGTTGCTTTAAGAAAAGTATTGCCTGTTAAATTAAGGTCTGAATCAATTCCAATGAAGCAGCTGTTCTTCATAATGACAAAGTTATGTCAAGAAATAATGCCATAATGTGCAAGTTAAATTGTTTTAAATATGCGAGTTTAAATTTTCAAAACTTTTTATTTTAATGTTCAAAACTTTTTATTTTAATTAAGGGGAATAGAGTGAAGTGTATGGGCACAGTATTCCCAGGGAACATTTATTGTTGAAACCTAGTTGTTCAAAACTCATGAGACTAGGCACAATATGTTTAGTTTTTTTCTTTAGACTAACATATTTGTTGATTTTACTTATAACTATAGTCTCAAAATCTATTTTTTTTCCCTCCAAAGTGATCAAAGACCTTCAGTTATCCTTCATTAGATTTTGTTTGTTATATGTTTGTGGGTGGACTTGCTCTCATAATGCAAAACAAGGGTGTTCTTGGCTTATCTATAATGATTCTACACAAGCCTACTTAACTAACCCCTATTGGTTTGACATCATGTGTTATCATTTGTAATTCTTCATTCTGGATTGAGCTCAGTGAAAAGCAGTCTTTAATTTTTTTTCCACCTGTTGCAAAAATAATAAAGTACCTGTTGATACATTTTTTTATTTAAATTACTGCTTTCTTTCTTCATTTTTATACCAGACATATATAAACATTAACTAAATAAAAATTATTTGGTATAGTCTCTAACTCTTAACCTGGCTGAAGAGAACGATTTAATTTTAAGTGTATATTTAAAATTGCGTTCCAATACAGAAATTGGAGGACATTTTAGAACTTTAAGAGGGTTAGGGTAAAACAGGAAAGACAACCAAAATAATTATATTCATAAATACCATAAACTAATGTAGAATAACATAGTTTAATAAAGCTTCCAGTATGATGCCATAACAATTCACTTTAATTGGTAAATCTCTGGGGAGACCTAAGAAGCAACACATACAACTGATTGATGGTGTTTAAATGAGCAGCAACAGCATTAACATATTTTGTAGGAAGTTGAAAGGTCTAAGTTATAAACATCTTTCTTTCTCAAATAAAAAGTCACTCCACAACGCTCAGCTTGCAATCTAGTATTCCAAAAGGAGATTAAGTAAACATCACTGATAGTGTCTTTTTTGGATTGTGAAAATGTAAACATTTTAATCTATCACACTCTCGCACTATGGTCTGTTGCTGCACTCTAAGACTGCATGTAGCCACTGAAAAAAAAAAAGGGGGAAATAAAAAAAAAAATTCTCAATGTTATGTTTAAATAAATAATGAAAATAACAGTCTTGAACATTTTTATGCCAAACAACTTAACAACAATGAACAATAGATCTTTAAAAATACATTTTTAATGTTGCCTATAAGAAGTAATTTTTAGTTGTGACATTTTATTTTGAACAAAGCTCCAGGAACATTCATGGAAACATAATTATATGGACTGAGTGAAAAAAAACACCACAAGAAAGATTAGATTATTTAATTAAAAATGTACAGTGTTGTAAAATCAACATTTAGTATGGTCAGAGCAAAACTTACGGTAATTTAATTTTCATGAAAACTCTGCATGTAAAAAATGCAATGACCACAGCACCGGCTCCAACGCAGATCAGCAGGATGCGGTTCAGCTTAGGCATCAGCGGTTTATTAGTCTGGTCGAGGATGACAAAACCCAGACCGCCAAGGGTAAACAGAAAACTGGAAGCAAGACCCTCCATAATATACTGACCATTTACTCTGTATGGCATGAAGGCAACCTTTGGAAGCAACAAGAACAAATCATTGTAACTTGCACTGCTTCAAGATAGTTGAATATTTAAAGATATCATCATTTTAACTTGCAGTGTTTTGGGATAGTTGAATATTTAATAAATCATCATTTTCACTTGAATTGCTTTAGGGAAAGTTGAAAATTTAAAGACATCATTTTACCTTGAACTGCTTTAGGATAGTTGAATAATATTTATGAGATCATTTTCACTTAAATTGCATTAAGATAGTTGAATATTCAAAGATTTATCAATTTATCTTGCACTGCTTTAGGACAGTTGAATATTCAAAGATATTTTCACTAAACTGCATTAAGATAGTTGAATATTTAGAGAGACATCAGATGATTTCAGATTAATTAAGCCAAACTATTTGATGGGTGAGCACACTTACTGGTTTTGAGTTTCCTCGTTCATCTGTTGTTGAGCCAATACTTGGGGGTTCAACAATGACATCATAAATGATACCTGGTGGCAACAAACACAAATGTTTAAACGATTTTGGTTTGGGCAAACGTTTCCATATTTGACAGCTATGCTCTCTGCTATCATAAGACATTTTAAGGTCATCGTATGCAGATACTGAGAGTAAGAAGATTTACATTTTTTACAATTTGAAATGACAAAATTTTCCTGATCCATATAAAATATTTGTAAAAAAATTTTAAGGAGACACATCCCTCAAATGAATTTCTTTCTTTTTTTTTTTAAATTTCATCACTATCATAACCCTGTTTATAATGACACAACATTTGAATTTTAGGTTCATAAAAACCTTTAAAATTAGCTACTTTTAGCAATTGAGCATCTGTTCTTAGAACTGAATCCCCTAAATTAATAAATTAAAAGGTAAAGAAAATTTCAATGTACAATTTTGGAAACTATGCTAAGTATAAATGAATTAAAAACCATAAATGAATTGACAGGATGCAAATCAAAGGTTAAACCCTGAGATGAATTAGTACTCAACAACTGAAATAGATAATATAATTAAATGCATAATTAATTGCAGGCAGACAATCTGTACATTTTTATCTTTTGAACTCCGAAGTTAGGATTTAGACTTGTCTGTCATAGGTCGTTAAAAAGTAATATTCTAATCATAAAATATTATTATACTTTATTATAATATTAAGAAGTTAGGACACAGACTTATATAGTATGAATTTAGCCAATTCATTTATGTCAGACTTGTCTGTCATAGGTCATTAAAAAGTAATATTCTAATCATAAAATATTATTATACTTTATTATAATATTAAGAAGTTAGGACACAGACTTATATAGTATGAATTTAGCCAATTCATTTATGTCAGACTTGTCTGTCATAGGTCATTAAAAAGTAATATTCTAATCATAAAATGTTATTATACTTTATTATAATATTAAGAAGTTAGGACACAGACTTATATAGTATGAATTTAGCCAATTCATTTATGTCAGGAGCATGTAGCATGTGTACAATTACTTTGTACTCAAATGGATGCATATTTGTAAGGTGTGACATCTTCAAGTCATTTTTATAAAATGCCTTTTATATTCCTAACTCTTGTCCAGAGACCAAGCAACTGTAGTATAAAATCTCTTAAATTACCAGAGACAAAAAAGTTGCACTATCAAGACAAATAAAGTTAGTAAAACAGCTGAACAGTTACAAGAGCAGTACACCTGTGGATTACAAGAGCAGTACAACCTGTGATTAGCAAACCTTGAAATAGCACTGTCCCTGGCAAAATTTTCAAACCCACAACCCTAACCTTTTTACTTTTTAACAACACAAAAAACCTCTGGAAATAGGGCTAATCCCATCGAATGCAAAATGCCAAAGGATTTCTAAGGGACATAAATCATGGTATTTCCCTACAAATATCACATGCTGTGCAGACTTGCTGGCTGCTAATCACGTCATGCACAGCCAGTGACATAGATCTTTTGCTTAACTATAATCTGTCTTGTAAGCCTGTGTGTTTATAGAATCATGGTAAAACAGAGCGTTGTCATAAGTTTTGCTACAAGACTGAGGGTTGTGAATGAATCATAACAAGCTGGTCAAATATTGTACATCAATATGGTGATGTAACTGAACTGCATGAAAAATATTTTTAGCTCAATAAATATTGTTTACTTTCATAATTGTTTAGTTGTTATTATAGGTAAGCACAGGTTGTACTGCGCTTGTAACCGTAGAGGTAAATACATACACCTTCTATTTATTTTATAATTTCAATGTGCATATATATCTTCTTTTGTCAAATTATGGAGCATGATCAACACACAAATACCACCATCCCTGAAAATAGCAACTCGGCAACTCTTTTTGCTTCAGCCACCAAGGGCATTTGGTATTCACAGGAATCACTGTTTTGTAGCAGTCAGAAACTTAATTTAAAGCTTGATCATCCCTATCAAAATTGATGATGCTATACTATTACTGTTATGACTATGACTAATGAGTTTCAATACACCTCAGTTATACTCCTAAGACTTATTATTCTTACTATTTATTAATACTCAGGTATTTCTAGCAATAGGTAGAGTTAGTCCCTATTTTTTCCCACATCTTAAACCCCTGAGGCTGAGATTGGCAGAAAATGATGCAACCCCCACTCCACAAAAGGAAAAGAATTTCTCACTGCAGGGCAGACTGCCTCTTCCACCCCACCCCCTCCTTTGCCCTTTACTTCTGTATGAAACTGTAACTACTGCAGACCTGTACACCCTTGGGTTAGTGTCAGCATAGTTGTGTAAGGAAATCCACTTAACTGCTTATGTAAGTTCACACAAATAAATTTATAGGGTATAGTCCTGGGATTTGTTTTTTTTAAGGATGAGAAGGTCTTAGGCACATGGAAATAGACGCGGGCCGCTCTCTCTTAACTTACCGCAGTTAAGTATTAAAAATGCAATCCTCTAAACATAATATTCTGGTTGAGTCAATGAATTGTAATTGAGATCGAGACCGCAAAAGCCAATCCCAGTTATTCTTATTTGATTGCTGCACTGTAACTTTTTACTGAAAAGAAAACACCCCAATTATTTATTTTTAAAATTAAAATTGACTCAAACATATGAAAAAAAAGAAGTTTTTTTAGACTCGTCATAGTGCTTAAAAACGTAGTTATGTCGAACGCATATAAGAGACAGAGTAGAGGTAAACAGATCTGGGCTAATGGTAGTTATGGATGCCACGACGTTCAGGTTAGGCATTGATTTAGGGTTCAGGTTAGGCATAGGGATCGATTTATGATTTAGGGTTCAGGTTAGGCATAGGTGTCAACCAAGATGGCAGCCATTGAGAAAATAGTGGCATCCATATTCACCCTTTACTATGATTTACTCAGGTCTGCTACTGTAATGTTAAGTACAGTAAAAAAAAAGCCTCCAGAAGAGAAGGGCTGGTTACGCAACATACACTGACACCGGTTTGTTTAATATGTGATTGTGATTCTGTTAGTATTTAGAGTTCCCCTAGTGGCCTAGGCCCTGGCGTTTCGGCGTTTTTTATGTGTTGAAGTTAAACTCATCATTCATGCTAAACTTAATTGTTTGAGGACACGGCTACGTATTAAAAAAGTAAAGCTCACCTCCAGTAACTAAAAAATATGATGTGAGGACGGCGGCAAAAACAACCATTGCAGAAGGCTGTCGTACCCAAGTAGGTTTTTTCAATTTGAGATTTGGGCATTCTAGAAGGGAAAACGGTACACTGTAGACAGACTCCATGTTGATGTGGCATTAAATTATCTTTACCGGAAAGGTAAAAGAGTTCCTATTTTACTTGATTCGTGTCGAGTCGACCAATTTGGCGTCACGTGACTTTAGCCACAAAATATCTCGAACAGTCCGAACAGCAATCGCATTAATAGAATACTCAGATTAGTATTTGCACTGTCGCGTAGCCGAAGAATAATGCAGCAATAATAAATTATTAATCAGACTTGTCAAGCTTTTTTTTCCTCTTTTAAGTTTTGATTCCCAATTTTTACCCTAAAAGCAAGGAATCATAGTAGGACTATAACTATATGAATATGAGGAGGAAACTCTAACAAAAAAATTTAATGTCAATTTTAATATTAATAAAATATGCTGTTATGAAATGAATATTTCTTTGTATAATTATATTATATTTAACTTGAAGTTTTAACAATAAATATGATTTTTAGGCCAACAACGATATAAATATAATACAAAAAGTAAATATATTAATTTTAATTCTATAAATCATACTATTGATGCTAATTAGACAGTAGAAATTGGTAAAAATGGGACAAGATTCGTAGTAAAAAAAAGAGTTAAACATATATAATCAGAATAAGTATAAAAATAAATTATTAAATTTTACGTTTCCTAGTAGAAACCGGGTATGTTACTTTTAAGTTTAAGCATACTGTAAATTGAAAAATAAGGGAGAAGATTCGTTTTATTTTATTTAAAGAGTAGTTTCCCTTTAAAAATGGTCACACGTACTTCCGGGAAGTGTCTGCATCGGGTGTAAACAAACCTAAGTAAAACATGATACACAGTCTTTTCGTAATAAATAACACAGGGTAATATTGTTAAAATTTGGATATCTTCTCCCCCCTCTCTCTTTTGTAATTTCAATTTTCTACAGACAATTATTATTATTCATTGCTACATCATTTTCAACTTCTTAGTAAGAATCAATTTCAATCCACTTTTGAAAGGCTAACTAAGTTAAGATATGATCTTAAATTGTCAATAGCAGAAAATTTGTTAAAATCATGCTTTTAACATGTAAAATTTGATATCAGACTTTGGTAAATTCAGAGGAAGCGGCCCGAGTCTATTTCCATGGCCGCCATCTTGGTTGCCTCGACCCGCGCACTTTTACGTGTTCATGAGTCGAGGCAACCAAGATGGCGGCCATGGAAAAATAAAATAACTCATGTTTGCTAAAATTAGGAAGAAAACGTTAAAAATTAATGGCAAAAATGTGTTAAATCGATCCCTATGCCTAACCCGAACCCTAAATCACTAAATCTATCCCTATGCCTAACCCGAACCCTAAATCACTAAATCTATCCCTATGCCTAACCCGAACCCTAAATCACTAAATCTATCCCTATGCCTAACCCGAACCCTAAATCACTAAATCTATCCCTATGCCTAACCCGAACCCTAAATCAAAATGGATCCCTAAGTCCCACGCCTAAAGCCACTAGTAAAAACACATGGAATTTACGTAATGTGGTAAGAAAACAATAAACATTAACAAAAAAATGCCCAAAATAAATAAAGAAATGATGAAAATCCAACTTACAGTTTCATGAAATACACTTTTACACACTTTATTTCAGTTTCCAAGGAAAATGTAGCCACAAAATGAATTAATCTCCACACCTCACAGGCACCCCAAAGATATCAAAGATGGGGCAACCAAATAAAAATGATAATGAGCCAACCGATCAAAATTTTAAAATTACAATTAATCAACCAATAAAATTTTAATTCCGAAAATGTAACTCTTTTAACAAAAAAATACAAAAAATAAGGGGAATTAACCAAAAGAAAGTCGTCGTGGGCCGCTAAATCTGAAATAGCCCCAGACGTTTGATGTTTGGCAATCTTTCCCCACATTTTGTCTCAGTCTCAATACTCTCAACCACGTTCATTTCATATACCCACATACAAAGGGAGGTTATCAGTGAATATCAGGTCGAACTCCTAGTTTGCCCATCCATTTCATTATGATAAATAAATGTTATTATATTATATTCATGTCATTTATTTTACTTTCCATGACTCCCCAATAGAATAGGGGCCATCCATAAATGACATCATGATCATCAGTGGGGTGGGGTGTCAGATTTTTGTGATGAGAGTGAGTGGAGGGCTTAAGCAATGTGACGTCACATGGAAATATTGGAAAGCAGAATATTATAGTAAATATTGCTAGAATTTATGTCAAAATGTGATGACAGGAGTCATTATATTAGGACTACCATGTGAAGTGGGATGGAACTATAGAGATGGTTGACCGGGTGGGGGGTTGGTAAATGCTCAGGCCTGCACATCTCAAAATGTAAGGCGGGCCATAATACTTTATGAAAAACTTTTGCAGGCCGATAGATGATAGGACATGGAGGAAAGCTATTAAGAAAATAATAATAATAAATAATATTTATTTACTTGGTGGGACGCCAAGTGGGTGGTGGCGGGCCACATGCGGTCCGCTGGCCGTATGTTGTGCATGCCTGCTCTACTAGGGCAGGGATTCTTAACCCTTTTTCAGCGCTGCAGGCCCACTCTGTTTTTAACATCCCCCCACCTCAACCATATAAATTATATTGTAATAAAATTTAAAATATGAAAATTATTAAATAATTTAGTTATCATAGTTATATCTTTAATTAACTTTTATAAATTAGGAAAAAAATTACCAATTTAAATAATGCGCAAACAAAATTCACCAGAAAAAACATTTACTGCTGCTAACTGCTAATCAAAATGCATAAAAACTGATATTTTTTAAAAAGCAGCAACAACTAGCAATGGCCGCAAATACAGTTTTCTGGTTTTCCACACATCATGGTTGGGGAAGTACTTTTACCCCTGGTTAAGAACCAATGTTCTAGTGAAATGTTTCTGACACAGGTGCAGTTATTTGATATCAATGGGAGGTGAATTTCTTTACATGTTTGTTAAGAACAGTGGTGGACTCAGGGAATTTTTTATAAGTGGGGGGGAGGTGCAAATATTTGTGACATTATATTTGAAGGGGTATAACTATTTGGGACGATTGGGGGTGGGGGGGGGGGGAGGGGGCTAACATCAGCAAAATGTGACTTCATTTATGGATGGCACCATACTCATCTACACTACACCCTCCACACCATGTATGTCAATGTCAGTGTTAACTCATGGTTCAAGAGCTAGATGTCCCTATCATCTATGCCAGTCCTCATTGGCCTGTTTGTTCATAGTATATTTAAAGCAAGTACATGAACCCTATCATTAAAACTCAGTTACATTGTTGAATCAAAGATGTCCCCCTTGCATATTCTACTATGACACTCATAGGGTTTTCACGGAAAATTACATATGATGCAGCCTCTTGATATGTAACCCAATATCTTTTTATTTCAAGTCTTTAGTAGTCTAACAAAGTAAAAAAATTGAGAATACCTTTCATTAGTTTAAGTTAAGTAAATTAAGTATCAGTTGGTCTAGCCATAACTGAAAGTAGTTATGTCAAACTACTACTACTTAAACTAATTCTAATAATATATCTTACATCTTTTTACATATAGATTGACACTTTATTCATGAGGTAACAACTGGAACTAGTTTGTTGTTTTTCCTTTTTTTTTAATTCAGAAATGAATTTTAAAATGCACTATTGACTTTCAGTGATGTGTTTATGGAAAAACATTGGAAAAGTGTTGTGAATAAATCAATATGTGATTATTTCTTTGAAGCTCAGAGCAAGGTAAACTTTGTCCTTCATTCTGTTGTCTTTTTAAAGATTAATCTGTATCACATTATAATTATAAACAGATTATTTATATGGCATGGATTATTATCTATAAATATCAGGTTTTGTGTCCGAGGAACAAGTAAATAACATTCTATTACTATTTGATACAGGTCATTTAAATAGTGTGATAGTTACTTTTTGCTTTTTTAAATTTATACCAGGCATCCAACCCAGAAGATGTACCACCTGTCATTGCAACTCCACATCATTACCTCATCAACATTTATCGCAGTAATTTATTTTTTGTTGCAGTTGTGACAACAGAAGGTTTGTAATTCATCATGAATTTACAATAATGGGCAATATTTGTTAAAAATTATTTAGTGAGTATGTTGACAAACATGTATTATTATGTTATGGCATTTTTATTTTAGGAGATCATGATCATAATCTCACTTAATTTTTTTTAAAGACACAGATAGATCTTAAAGGAGTCTATATAAATAAAGGAGCTGTAAGATTTTTGGAGACGATATGAAATGTGTTCAAGAAACATGTGTTGTTCATATTTATTCTTTACAGTGCCACCGCTATTCGTTGTGGAGTTTCTTCACAGAATATGTGAGACATTCGAAGACTACTTCTCTGAATGTACAGAGTCAGTCCTTAAAGAGAATTATGTCATAGTGTATGAGGTTGGTCGCTCTTTCTATCCTACGATTTTGTCAAATATTCACATTTTTAAAGATGCACTATACTTTCAAATTTATCCGATGACTAAAGCTCATAAAATATTGTCAGAGAGATAACTCTTGTTTGCTTAGTGGAGGATTCTTTCAAAACAAGACATTCACTTTTCATTTTGTATTTTATTTTTTTATATTTACCATATATACTTGCGTATAGGTCGGGACTTTAGTTTGTAGTTTGCAAATTAGGGTTTTAGTGGTGGATCTGAAGATAGGTCACACCCTAAGTTAAGGGAGTTACATGGCCCTTTTTTAAACTTAAATATAACTGTTTTTTTAAACAGACATTACAAAAATGTTTTCATAACAACTTGAAAACTGGAAACCAATCGCCATAAACCACATAATAAACTACGTCATAGACTGTGTGAGCTTTAAAAGATATTTTATTCAGAAAGGATTCCCCGCGAGAGCAAACAAGAAAACACTCCTCTTACTTTGTATAAATGACTATGTCACACTGAAATACAGTCTGCAAAATGGATGTCCAGTGGATCGGTTGTACGCCTGATTTTTATCAACATTTTTGTTTTTTTAAAAGTGCGACCTGTACGCAAATATACACAATAAATTGTATAAATTATAATTTATAATCTTATCTTTTTCCAGTTACTTGATGAGATGCTGGACAATGGATTCCCTCTGGCTGTGGAGTCCAACGTTCTCAAAGAACTCATCAAACCTCCAAACTTTCTCAGGACGATCACGGACACAGTTACAGGGAAATCAACTGGGTAATTATGGATCCTGCTCGTTAAATCCAACTGTTGAGATATAAGTTTGTTGGTGATTCAGGCTGTGCAAGGGTTACTAAAGTGTGATGAGGGATCTTAATGTCAACGCCTGTTGTTTCCGGTGTGAATATTTAAATTAGTAGAGTGCAACCTTATTGAATGAGGAGATTTTGTCATTCTGTTTTTTTAATTTATGATTATTGAGTATGGGTTGGTATTTCAGTGTTGGCGCTACACTTCCCACTGGCCAGTTGTCTAACATTCCATGGCGCCGCACTGGTGTCAAATACACCAACAATGAAGCTTACTTTGATGTGATAGAGGAAATCGATGCCATCATTGACAAGTCTGGATCCACTGTTATAGCAGAAATTCAGGGCTATGTAAGTAGATGGGCAGCTTTATCAATGAGCGCCTGTCTTTTGTGATATTTATATATATATATATATATATATATATATATATTGATATATGAAAATACATTTTTAATAAATTATGAAAATACAAAATAAATAACAATTGATGCCATCATTGACAAGTCTGGATCCACTGTTATAGCAGAAATGCAGGGCTATGTAAGTAGATGGGCAGCTTTATCAATGAGCGCCTGTCTTTTGTGATATTTATATATATATATATATATATATATATATAGATAGATGAAAATACATTTTTAATAAAGAATGACAATACAAAATAAATACCAATGAATACTGATGTCAGCAAAGCCTTCTGTCAATAAGAACACTGACATCAGCATAGCCTTCTGTCATTAAATTTCCTGTCTTTAGTTATAGTGTTGTTAAAAAAAAAATCTATATTTTTCAGATTGACTGTTTGATAAAACTGAGTGGCATGCCAGACTTGACATTGTCATTTGTCAATCCAAGACTTCTGGATGATGTCAGCTTCCATCCGTGTGTCAGGTTTAAGAGATGGGAGGTGAGGAGGCTAGAAAAAAATGAAGGGAAGAAATATTAAAAAGAACTACTTACACAAACGAGAAACAAAATAGAAAATCTTGCCGATAATCAGGGCGATTAAAAGCATGCAATATAATGTTTTTGAACTGATCAGTTTATTTAAGTATTAAATTTTATCTTGTTGCATACATTTCATTGTCTTTGTTTTGGTTTTTTTCAGTCTGAGAAGATTTTATCGTTTGTTCCCCCAGATGGTCACTTCAGGATGATGTCATATCACATAGGATCAAATAAGTAATAATTTAGCCGATGTCACAGAGTTAAAGTTTGTTTAATTATTTGAAAATAGTACCGTCGTCCCTCGTTTATCGCATTTAATCAGTTCCAGGCTCTACCACGCTAAGTGCATTTCCACGAAAGGGGGACTCTTTATTTATACATTGAATATTTTTGTATTAAGAGCATAGAAAACTTGTTAACAACCCTCTAAATACTGTTTAACATTATTAGTTCCTCTTGGGTGCTTATATACATAGGCATACGGTCCATAGGTACAGTAATTTTAATTGTAATACTGGGGTGTATAATTGACAGCCCAGCGCACGCTGTATCATGAGCAACTTTTTAATGAATATATGTTATATGTGAAAAAAATGCAACAGAGTGAAGGCGCGAAGTGGCGAGGGACGACTGTATATACTTTTAAGAACACAGGCTTTTTTTTACATTTAAATTTTTTAACTTCTTTTCTAATTGTGGATGTCTTTAACAGTCCGCACTGTAGCAACAGTAGTTCAAATTGTTATACATGTACATGACAAAAGTACAATTGGTACAAAAGGCATATTGTCTGATGGGTGTGCTGCAAAGTCTAATGGATGTTCTGACATCAAGCCTTTTTCACAATTCAAAACCACTAGAAGTACAATTGGTACAAAAGGCATATTGTCTGATGGGTGTGCTGCAAAGTCTAATGGATGTTCTGACATGAAGCCTTTTTCACAATTCAAAACCAGAAAAAGAGCTTCCTTCAACCTGCTGTTGCATTTTGATCATGTTTTCTGTCTTAGCTTTGCACTCATTATTTCTTGAATGTTAGTTGATTTATTGCACACTTTCTAACTTCCTGGGTGTGTTTTGGTCAGCTGAGAAAAGTCTTTAGACAAGGTTTTCAATGCTCGCTTGTTTTCTTTGTACTTTAGATGGCGCTGCACCTATCAAAGTTGGTCTCCTTAAATCTGCAAAGATACAACTGGAAATTTAGTTGTAATATTATATCCTCTTATCTCTTCCCGTACAGTATGGTGGCCATACCACTCTATCTCAAGCACAATATCAACTACAGGGAGGGCAGTGGAGGCAGGTTTGAGGTGACCATAGGCCCCAAACAAACCATGGGCAAGACAGTAAGTTGTGACCATTTTGTATTCGGCCCTTTAATACATATTCATCATGGCAGAACTTGAAGGCACTGTTCTGGTTTTGCAACTCAGACAGCAAATTTTACTATTAGTCGTCAGATTCAAATAAATTTATCACAATAATATTAAATTATGCACACAAAAAAATGAATTTCCTGCTTTTTCAAAGTTCTTCTTCAGTCTATCATGGCATGTCAAGTTGTGTGAATGTGTACTGTTAATTGTTTTAAGTTAAATACAGCAGTGAACCCTCAGTGAATTTCACTTACACATAACTGTATGTCATATAGTTAGGTTCCCTGGTAAAAAAGTGTTTTCCATTATTGCCAACATAAATTTACATCAGTGAATGAAATTTTGACATGTTTTTTCCCGTTTTAAACCTTTAAACGGTTGGCTTCAGATTCTAAAATACCCATGCCCCTGGGCTCTTGTGGAAAATTTCAACAAATTGACACACAAAGAAACAAAATCACAGGATTGATAAAAATTAAATAAATGTTTTTTCTTTCAATCTAAGTTTGTCTGTAAGTAGTCCATTACTACTATAAATGTATCACCAGTAGAACATTGTCTTAGAATTGGTGTAGAACAGCATAGTAGAAGGTCATTTAAACACCCCTAAATTTTTCATAAAAACCAGGGCTAGCACTAGGGTTAAATCCTTGGGGGGAGCCAATATCACGCCTCCCCCCCCCCCCCTTTTTTTTTTCCTACAAAATATTGTATTGTTTCCTTTATTCTCAAAGCACACATCAGTAGTACTAGTAGTTGATGAATTCAATAGATCGTCACTATCAATGTCTATTTGATTTATTTATTATAATCCTTTTTCAAAACAGGATAGTAATCTTTTGAATCATTTACATTACGGTATCATCAACCTGCTCTGTTTTAGGTCCTTTAGAAATAAAAATTTTAAAATTTTCTTCACCTCAATACATTGCAAAACATTAAACAAAAACATAACAAATACAATGCATCAATGCTTTATTTAGGGATTAAACCCCAATGTTTTTGTACAGGAAATATAGAAATTGCGTCACCTTTTGGCATTCTTGAGAACAAATTGGAAGGCATTGGAATGTAAAAAAATTTTTTTCGCTAGCCAGGGCAGGGGCGGGTATGGGAAGAAGTTTACAATACATTCACTTGGTGACATCAATTTCAAGGCTATTCTACTAGTAGACAGTTGTGGTGGATAAAAATAACTCTGTGTAGTTTAAAAATAAGCCAAGTCCTACCCTGTACTAGGCTTTATATATAACAGAGACTGAAATCTCGACCTGGCGGGGTGTACATTTTTAATGCTCCGACTCAGACCGATAAAGCAGGATCCCTAGTTCAAAGGGTTTATTTCATTTTTATAGATATCAAAAAGGTTAAGTTTTCTTTTTAACAAAAACATTCTTGTAAAATTACAGTTACCTGTTCATAAAACTAAATTACAACATGGTTATTACTGTTGTACAGATTGAGAATGTTGTCCTGGAAGTTCCATTCCCCAAGTCAGTATTGAATGTGACCTTGACCTCAACCCAAGGCAAGAACTCCTTTGATCCTGTATCAAAACTCATGACCTGGGATGTGGGAAAGATTGAACCTGGCAAGTTGCCCAACATTAAAGGAAATGTAAGTGTTGCCAGTTTTTCAATAATTTGCAAATATTTTTTTAAAATATATAATTATCTCATTTAGGAGGATTTAAGTGACCAAAAAAACCAGCTAAAACCTGACCATCCAATAAAAATAGTTCAGTATAGGAACATAAAGACAGCCTATTAACACAACTTTTCCAGAAATAAATGCATAAAATAAAACACTTTTGTCACTTGTGCTCTAGTCTGAGACCACAGCCACGAAAATGAAGGCAGAAAATACATTTTACAAAACATCTGTATGTTTTCTTCAACTCGACTGAATCATTATGCCCGCAGTTACTGAAAACAAGAGTTACTTAGTATATTGCATATGGTTTTATCCAAGCGACCCACCCCCCCCCCCCCCCGATTCCCTTGCTGTTTCTTGACATTATTTTCATAAACACAGTTTTACCTAACACTGTAAAGAAAACCTGGCAAAGGTACCTTCCATCAATGCTTAGTTCAAAAGACAATGTCAAAAAGAATATCGAAATGAAACAGATTTCATGGTTTTTTTTTATAGCATGCCGGACTTATAAAAATATTACTTTTGTATGTGAAACATCTTTCGACACTTATATAATCATTTTATTCCTACATTTGGTTTCAGATCACTCTACAGACTGGGGTCCCCGTTCCTGAAGCCAATCCAACAATAACTGTAAGTTATCAGATTTTAATCCTTAATCCTGTGCAAATGATAGATCGACTACAAATTTAATAAACATGACAACAATAAAAATATTTTGAAGTCAACATTCTGTAATCAAGTGATAGTGATAGCAGGCATAAAAACAATTTGGAAAACATAATTTATTTAAATGGGTGCAATTAATGCAAAGAAAATTTTAACCATCTTAGCATTGGGAGTGTGTGAAGTCTATGTAGATCTAAGTGAATATCTCTATGATAGGGGATTTTTACAATTAAAAACTTTCAAATAGTCCTGAAAATGTTCAAACTTACATTGTGACCTCAACTAGTTGTAGAGACATGACTTTTTTTTCTTTTCCTCCCCTGACCCATCAGGTGATGTTCACAATCAATACGTTTGCTGTGTCAGGCCTCAAAGTCAATCGTCTGGACATGTACGGAGAGGTCAGTATTCTCCCATCAGCCCCCGTTTAAGGTGTGCCCAGGTAGATTCAGTATCTGTTTATGATGAAATTGACAATTTTATCTCCCTCATTGCATTTCCCTTTCAACCATCTACTGATAAAACATGTTCTGACCCCAATTCAGTAATTTATTAAAATTATGCAAGATTTACATTCATCTAAAATATTTTTGCTGTTTTTCCACTTAAAACTGTGAATAGCAGTGACCTTTAAACCTTGGCCCTGTGGAATCTTTTTTTTCCAGTTCCAGGTTTTCAATAAGCAGTGAGATAAATTAGGTTCCTTTCAGTCTTAGTTTTTTCCAAATTTTCATTGCTCATTGTCACAATGCGTAGTCGTAATCACACCAAACTGAAAACAAATAGCCCTACAGAAAAGACAGAATACAGACACTGGTAACAGCCACAATAAAATCAGTCATTAAAAGAGTTCATTAACTAAACTAAGCACAAGACACACCGTGCACAATAAAATACGTTTGGTGCGCGTCAATTACTGGTGAATATCAATACTGGATTTATTTCAATAGCACACAAAGAAATTTCTGCTCCAGTTGAAAATGGAAGACATTTGGTTAACAGTAAATATGTTGTTACATTTCAACTGTGTACGGGTATGAGCAATCTCACTATGTAAGTGAACTTTGACCAAACTAACAAGTGTGAAGATTTATGTTATGCTCTTTAAATTGGTTAGAGGGGATACACTTGAATCAATAACTTATTATAACAAATGTATTCTTGGGCTGAAGATGATTAATTTAATCCTTATTTCATAAGTTGCTTAAATCTTTATTTCATGTATTTATCCTGTCAACCCATAGTTTTTATATAGCTTCCCGTCAACTTTGAGTTGTCTGCCCTGGTTTATTTTGTTTTCCCCCCTTATCCTCCTTTGGCACCATTGATGTGTTTGATATCTGCTTCGATTTTGTTGTGTTTTTTATCTAATCTTTATTTTTTAATCGTCCAAGGAACTCTCCCATAAATGGGTACGCATAGTTGTTTTTTTTTTAAATTTAAGATGCACACAATTTTGTACATTTCCCTGTGCCGTACTTTTCTTTACATAGAATATTATGCAAATGCTCTGTTTCATTTTTTTTATTACAATTTTTTTTTTTTTTGTTATAACATTTTTATTTCTTGTTTCTGTATATTGGAAACTTTGCACATTTTATTGTTTACATTTGAAAGATTAAAAAATAAAAATGTTTCCCCCAACAAACGTGATGAAAGTATTGAGCACTTCTTCTGTGGTTTTGGAAATCTTCACCTCTCAGATTGATGATATATGAAATAATGGTGGCACATTTGAAAACAAAATGGTTAAATTTAATGGAGAACCAACATTCAGCACTGCAAAAACACTGTCAACACTTCTGCGCTTTCATATATATATTATATATATATATATATTTAATTAATTTAATTTTTTTTCTATTTTATTTTTTATGTGAAGTTTTGACATTTTAAAATTTAAATGAACTACCAATGTTTGAAATGATCACTCTCCATTGGAAGTTGAAGGAAGGTACAAATTGAATTAATTTGGAGCTAATGACTTAAATATTGGAGATTTCCTATTGAAAAATAATGGTTTCACATAGATTTTATCATCTCCAGTGCCCACAATTAAGAATATAAACCCCATTATTAGTTAATCGTGCTTTAAGCTTCCGCTATATTACAAAACTTTTTAAAATCTTAAGTTCTTAAAAATATTGTCCCACTTATCATTGGTTCTATTTTTAACAAAGTCCTAGTAATAGCTTTAAATTAATTAGCATATTCTCTTCAAACAAACTGTGACCTTTTTTGTTAACTTTCTAAAAATCATATTTAATTTAAACTATGCTGCAGCTTGCACAATTATGTAACATGAAATTTATTCGCCAATACAGTACTTACTAATAGAAAGTACTCCCATTCTCGAATATTTACTAATACTAATAGAAATTAATACAATTCCCAATACTTATTTATAGAAAAGGAAATTAAATTAACAAAATTTAATGTTACTTTTCCCACTCAGAAATACAAACCTTTCAAGGGAGTCAAGTACATCACCAGAGCTGGCAAGTTCCAAGTCAGGACCTAGCTTCTGTCAGTGTGTTCTTTATTGTATAATGTATTGATGTAAGATATTTTGTCTTATCACTTTGTGATATCGTGAGACCAATTTTAAGCAGAAGTTTGAAATTGAGTTACATTTATTTTAAAATCACCTTGTCTTAACAAACGAGACACCAATTAGTGTATAATGAAAGAATAGCTTATTCAAATTAATTATTTTTCAGCATCGATTTTATTTCTGAAAAGACATAATTATGGCAGGATAGCTACACACTATTTCCAAAAGTGACTGACTTTTGAGACAACAGGTTGGAGAGGTTTGATTTAATATATAGAGTACCTGTATTTGATTTTAAGAAGAATTTAAGGAGTATTACTCCTTTCAAGGAGGGGGAAGAGAGCAAGAGATCTTCAGTGGTGCGCAGCTTTCCAGAAAGTAGATGTATGACTGCAGATTGCTAGCTATAACAATAGCTTTGTTTTTATCCTGTATTCAAGAACTCTTAATCCTCTTTAGCAAAGCCTCAATCTCAGTCCAGAAAACTACTAATAGGGTTTACATATTTAAAAAAAAATTCAACAGAGAAAAGCTTGAAGACGGAATGAGACAAATAGGTTAGGTTTAAGACATTGGTTGAGAATTTTTGAAGACAAATGTGCAATTTTTTAATATTATGTTTTTTCAATAATTATTTTTTTTCATTTTTAAATTCAACAATAAAACAAAATATCTAATTTTCACAACTTCATCTTTGCTTGGCGTGTTTTTTAGCCTGTAGTTAGCTGACAAGTTGACGGTCAGACAAAAAAGACATTCCTTTCAATTAATTAAACTTTAATGCACCCTTCCATTGCCATGTAATTGGGGGGAATATTGTATGTTCATTAGAGTTAGAGCAGCTTCTCTTGTGCCGCACTGAATTATACCGACTGAATATTTGTGCTTTATGGTCATGATGATTTCTTGATGACCTCATGCAGGCCGAGGCCAAATGTAACTATGGTAGTTTAAATCTGGTGAGATTCTGTGCATGTCTCATTTACGAGATCTATCACTTGTATGTTAATGTTATGTTAGTTTAATCATGGTAAGATTAGTGCATGTTTCATCTATGGGATCTATCACTTGTATGTTGTGGTAGTTTAAACCCGGTAAGATTCTGTGCATGTCTCATTTACGGGATCTATCACTTGTATGTTGTTCAAGTGTCATAATAAATATACAGTGTTATAAAATTGAAGATAAATAAAAAGAAGCAGAGGTCGACAGAGTTAATCATCCGACACCAGCAGCACAAATAAGTCAAAGACACACTCGAGTTGAGAGAAATTAAATCACTTTGAGATATGAATCTCTACAGTTTAATGGGGTGAATATTTCCATCACATTTCTACTCACATAAATTTAGCTCTAGCCAATATGACTTGTGATCCATTAACTTGTCAATATTCACAATGAATTGTTACCTTAACAGATAGGATGATCGGTTACCTTAACAGATAGGATGACTGGAGACCTTCAACTTCAAGGGGCCAAAACGAAATACTTTTAACAACAATCAAAACATGACTGAAAAAAGGAGTCACCACAAATAAATGTTAAAAACTACTGGAGTGTTTTAGATCTAAATTAGATCTAGGTCTAAGCTAACAGATTCAACACATGTACTTTTGTTTAAAAACATTTGAGCAAAGTCAGGGCTCACTACTCCCAAAATTTATCAACAAGAGTAAATCAAAATAACAAAACATTTAAAACATGCTGATTTAAAAAGAAAATTTGCCAATGGGTCCCAGAAATGCTAACGTGTTGTTCAATTGTAAAAGTCTGTCTGATCCTGCAGTAAAATGCGGATTAGATCTGGACTAAGATCTTCTATAACTTGCAAGTGTAAGGCTTTGTGCATTAAATTCATTAAAATTACATTCAGAACTACAGTTACTTCGACATGCAACTGTTCAACAGAATCGTAACAGAAAATAACATAATCGTAACAGGTAGAAATAGTTTAAAAAGCAACAACAAAAATAGTGAATAAATATCCTACCTTTTGTAGGTGTGTTGAGAAATTGTAAAGTCACAACTAGCAAAGGGGAAACAACCAATAAAATAATTATTAGCATGAAAAAGGGTCTTGCCCAGCAGCACGTGAGCGGGCTCAACAGGAAACAAGGTGACGAAATAATAATAATGGCAACACAGTTAAACTCACAACAATCTCACCATAGACTAGCTGACCATAGACAACAATCTCACCATAGACTAGCTGACCTTACACAACAATCTCACCATAGACTAGCTGACCATACACAACAATCTCACCATAGACTAGCTGATCGTACACAACAATCTTACAATAGACTAGCTGACCGTACACAACAATCTCACCATAGACTAGCTGACCGTACACAACAATCTCACCATAGACTAGCTGACCGTACACAACAATCTCACCATAGACTAGCTGACCGCATCCAACTATCTCACCATAGACTAGCTGACCGTATCCAACAATCTCACCATAGACTAGCTGACCGTATCCAACAATCTCACAAGAAACAACCTGACCATATCCATCAATCTCACCATAGACTCCCAGAACATGTCCAACAAACTCACACTTAACTACCAGACCATATTCAACAAATCTCACCATAGACTACCTGACCATATCCAACAATCTCACCATAGACTACCTGACCATATCCAACAATCTCACCATAGACTAGCTGACCATATCCATCAATCTCACCATAGACTCCCAGAACATGTCCAACAAACTCACACTTAACTACCAGACCATATCCAACAATCTCACCATAGACTCCCAGAACATGTCCAACAAACTCACACTTAACTACCAGACCATATCCATCAATCTCACCATAGACTCCCAGAACATGTCCAATAAACTCACACTTAACTACCAGACCGTATCCAACAATCTCACCATAGACTACCTGACCGTACCCAACAATCTCACAATATGTAACAATATCATTTTATGAAACACATCAAACTCACCATCTCCAACCATTGGTCTCTTTTAAAATTGTCAAGCCTCTTTTTCAAATATATATTTCAAGCTTTCACAAGGAGGTACAAAATAAAAAAAAGCACATTCCTTCTTTTTTTTTTCTTACTCTCTGTGCTACGTTAGAATTAACAAAATCTTTTCACATATAAGATTACCCAAAATTACAATAGGTAAAACATAAACATACAGTCTTATATGAGCTACTGCCATTTACTTGATATACATATTATATCTATATAAATTTATGTGTATGTAAATGTATGTTAAGCCTCAAAATAGAGCACAATTTACAGATAATCATGTACAAATAGGACAGTAAATATTCTTTGAGCCTACATTCCAAGATATATTCCATCATGTTAACATCAAAAGACATTAGGCAAAATTAAAATACAATCTTAAAATTTACAATTTAATATTGCAAAAGTTCACAAGTGGGTTTTTCTTGAGAGAGGATTTGGGGGGGCGGGGGGGCGTGTGTGCATGTGTGATGGATACTTGGAGGAACAGAATCACTATACAGCTCTGCGCTTGCATGCACACTATCAGTCACTTAATGCACAGCTTCTACATGTTGCAATATTTTATTGGGGTAAGTATGACATCCATTGAACAAACTATCACTATCAACCAAGAACATTTTTTTTGGACACAAAATGAGAAACATTAACTGAGAAACACCAATAATTTTCACACTTCACCCAATCCATTTATAACTTTAAAATTTCATCCAATCCATTTATACCTTCCAAATTTCATCCAATCCATTTAATATTTCAAAATTTCACCCAATCCATTCATAACTTTCAAATTTCACCCAATCCATTTATAACTTCCAAATTTCACCCAATCCATTTATAACTTCCAAATTTCACCCAATCCATTTATAACTTCCAAATTTCACCCAATCCATTTATAATTAAAACATCCAATATTCCCCTAATATATTTAAAACAGGACTCTAATCTAATCAGTTTGTCAGTCAACATGTAACTCACAAACGGCAAACATTCAAATCAGTCAACAATTTCATCTAATTAATTGTCAGCAAGCTTGTTTGTAAAATTGTCGATAATGTCATCCAAATCGTCAACAATAGTCCCATCTAAATTATCGTCAACAATAGTCCCATTTAAATCATCGTCATCAATAGTTCCATCTAAATCATCGTGAACAATAGTGCCATCTAAATCATCGTCAACAATAGTTACATCTAAATCATCGTCAACAATAGTTCCATCTAAATCATCGTCAACAATAGTTCCATCTAAATCATCGTCAACAATAGTTCCATCTAAATCATCGTCAACAATAGTTCCATCATTGTCAACACTCACATCTGTATTTTTTTTTTGGGTGCCCTCAAACTGTTAACTAGGGAAAAAAATTTGGCAGAAACATTCATTTTCTTTATTGTCCTTAAGCTATGGACAGCTTACTCTGACAAAAAAAATCCTACACAGATGAATTGACCAAACTTGTCTCATGAACAGGAAGTCTTTCCTTATTTAAATGTTCATAGCATACAGAGGGTATGAAGAGTGTGGTCATAAGTGAATTATTTACACATTGTTACAGTCAACGGAATATAACCCGCACTAGTTGGAAAAATTATTTTCGTGCACGAATTTGGACATGGCTTGACACAGCTTGGATGTGAGATAAAATAGATGTCACAAATTAAATTGCATCAAAGAAACATAGTTCAATTTTATTGCTAGCCCTTTTCATTTCAATATAATTAGCTCTGACCAAATTTAAACATAAATGGTGTATGCCCTTCTCATTTCAATGAGTTAGCTCTTTACAAAATATAAAGTTTTACGGTATATGCCCTTCTCGTTTCACTGAGTTAGCCCTATACAAATTTAAATATAAACGGTATGTGCCCTTCTCATTTCAATGAGTTAGCTCTTTATAAATTTAAAGATATATGGTATATATTAAAAAAAATTAACATCATCAATTTTTATTGATGTCCAGAAGTCATCGTAAATTTTAGCTCAAAGTTTTTTTAAAAACAAAAGAAAGAAAATACTACGTCATTCTCATTACATGTATGTGGTGAACAAAAACATGCAATACTTCACAACAGCTGAGAGGGATAAATTATTTGATCTGCCTGTTTCGTCCACATAGAATTAACAACAATATTTACAAAGGGAAATAATATATACATCTCTGTGTGACCATTGACCCTATATCCAACACTCATTCTCACTAGCATATCCCAAAGCCCAAGCATCACACATTCTGACGAGTGGGAAAAACCCTTGCATCTAAACTCATGTTTACCAGCCCATGTGTGGTTTCTATCTCGCCCAACTGTATCATCTTTGCACACGGCAGCCACATGTTCACTAATCCAATGGTGTTAAGTATGCAGACCACCTGCAGCAAAACTTCAGCAAAATGTATTGTCATTCGTTCTTGCTATCTACAAAACAGCTGTTTCAGGTCAACCTATTATATTTTATTCTAAAAGGGCCTGGCAATCGAGGGATCAACAAACTAACAACATTTTAACCATGTTAATTTATGCATCAATGTCGGCAAAGAGTTACATCAAAGAGGGTAACTCTGGGCTAGTTTGCTGAAACACACATTTCACTGGTTGCTTCAAATTGTTTAGAGTATCTGTGGTCTTCCTGATGGCCCTTCACACTTTAAGTGGTCTTTCTGATGGCCCTTCACATTTTAGTGGGTTTTCTGATGGCCCTTTACATTTTAGTGGTCTGTCTGATGGCCCTTTACATTTTAGTGGTCTTTCTTTAGACAGCCCTCCACATTTGAGTGTTCTTTATGATAATGCTCTATTGTTCCTCTTCATCAAGTACATAGGCTAATGGGAAATATCCAATCTGGAGGATGAAATACAAGAATTAACTTACATTATTTTACAATTACCTGGCACAGGGACAGGTCAAACCCTTTTAGAGAGCCCCCCCTTCCTTTTTTTAAACGAATACTTTTTAATATCTGGGTTAAGACATACAATTCTGGGATTGTAAAGCATAAAAAGAAACAATGTATTAAAGAGAAGCAGACA